TTGTAAATTTGCCAAACTTTCACTGTTTGGACGGAGGTTTCCCTCGCTGGGGGTCTGCTCCCAGTTGCGTAGGGGTCTCACAGTCCCAGGCCTATCAGGGCACCTGCCGTCTCCAGTCGCGCTGGGAGAGGAGACGTCCAGCCCGTGTTGGAACCCAGCGTAGACTCATTCCAGTGAGGAGCCCCAGCCCCTCCATGGCTTCCAGCGACACGAGTCAGGGAGCAGCCTTGGCCCCCTTAAGAGCCAGCGCCCTGGGATGCAGGAGGAGGAGACTGAGTCTGGGAAGTCTCCCCCATCCTTCTGAGTCCTGTGCTCTTCACTCAGCTCTCACTGCCGGGGGAGCTTCCCTCTGTGGGGCCTGAGCAAAGTGCTGGCCCCGGTCTGAGCGCTGGTTTGGTACCGTACGTCTGCCCCACCGCTCTGCCTGAGGGTCCCTGTGCACAGGCATGCAGCCACCTCAGGGCTGGAGGCATCAGCCAGAGGGGGAGGTGCACACAAAGCTGCACCGTTTGCTCCGGGATATTTTATCAGGAACTTCTCCCCGGCGGTGGCAGGGCCCTGCAATGTTCAGTGGCTCTGCAGAGCCAAAGGGCCCCAGACCGACTCTCTGCCCCCTCGCACCAACGCAGCCCTGGGTCTGTGGAGCAGGGGAGACCCTCAGTTAAAGCTGGTACCTGTGAGTGCAGAGAAGGACGTGTCTTCCCTGGGAATCCCCCACCCGCCCCTCTCTCACCCCAGCGTCTGCAGCAGCGTCTCGCACCGAGAGGCTGTCTATGGCTGTGCACATTTAATAAGGACTCTCTGCGGTCCCAGCGGGGTTCGCTCAGCCTCTAGGGGAAAGGCAGCATCTGGAGTTAACCAGGCTGGAGAGAAACCTGCCTGTGCTTCTGTGCTAATTACCCAGCATGAGGAGAAAACAGTCATTAAGGGCCCTTCCCAAAGGGAGAGAACTCTTGCTCTCTCGGGCTCTGGGCTGCATCAGAGAGGGATCGGCTGCCCTGTGCATTTATGTGTAGTTAACCAGTTCAGCTCGTTAGTGATCGAAGGAGGGCGAATGTTAGTTCTGATACCCTGCCAATGCCCAGGAGGGCTGGGTAGATACAGGC